ATACAGACACATACAGATACAGACAAGCTGATACAGAGCACATATATGTTAATCAAACCAAATCCAACATGGATTAAAAGAAAATGATACTTTCAGGTACGAACATATGAATCTGAAAATCATTTACATTTCAACATAATTCTAAAGGGGATCTAAAAAAATAAGTGGTTCTATACAGCAAGAGAGTTTGATATATCATGTTATGACTCTGGTTTAGACTTGTGTTCTTTCTTTACACTTGGCATTGTACTCCATAGAAACTCAGAATTGTCTAGGTTGGGAAAGATGTGTATGATGCCCAACTGTTAATCCAGCACTGCCAAGTCCCTAACCAATTCATAACTCTAAGAAACATATTTACTGTTTTTTAAATACCTCCAGGGAGGCATTCTTGTAGACATTCTGTTTATAAGAATGTAAAAAGTGTAACAGCAATGACCGTAACAGCTAAGAACAAACGCAGTTCCATTACCAGTTTTTGCTCTCAGTTTTTGCTCAGTTTGAGTAATTTACTCATCATTAAAATATTAATTTTTATAGGCTGTATTTTGTCCATATCAACCAAATGTTCCACAGTGTTGGTGTCTGCACTGAACAGAGAAGCATCTCACTACTCAACAATTTGTAGTTCTCACTTTGACATGCTTATTTGACCCCAAACACGAATGCTTTTTACTGTAAAATGGGGTTTTTTACTGTCAAATGTTTCACTGCCTGAGGAGTAATTTCACAATGGTGAGGACACACAAACACCGCAACTTATAAAATCGTGAGCCTTTCTGGTCTTTTCGGGTTTCGAGAGAAACACACACAGCAGCACATGCAGCACTCTGTGTATTTTGCACAGAAGTGAACAGGCTAAATACCGGGTTTTTTCCTTTATTTGCTAAATTGCGTAAAAACCCTAACCGATTGCTTTCTCACCGCCTTGTTTTAACAGTATCTACCTCTAGCTGAGTTAAACATGCGGTTTTTCCCTAGTGCAGACTTGTCCACAGAAGTCCTTTACCGGGCCATTAGGGCAGGAGCGAGTACCCCTCAGACATCAGCGGACAGGAACGCTCTCAGCCCTGGAACAAAGCGAGGATTCCTCCCCGTCCCACGAGCCGAGCGCAGGGCCCGGGGGCAGGCGCGGGGCC